AATGCATTCACAGTGTTACTTCTGCATACTGTATATGACTCCAGCACAGCTACACATTGGTCGATTTTGTAAAACTCCATCTGGAAAAACGAGGAATAGGAAGCGTCTTATTTTGAAGTAGTTTAAAAGAAATTGATCATACTCTGCATGTTATGTTGACAGAGAGTGTACGTGATTGTTGCTACTGTTCTGGCAGAGACAAGGCATTTGAATCATGGGTGGGATTATTCTTGAACCCAACAGGGAAGATGGGACAATTCTTGGTTTCTTGATCCTTTAGGAACCTGAAGGTTCTTCGTCATGTTTTCTGTGATGTGATCTCATATCTTGTCACAGTTACGTGGTGAGCTGCCCACTCTTGTTCTAGGAATGCGCTGCTTCCATTTTCTTAGGCAATCCCATTTTTTTTCATTAGAAAGGGACAAGATAGGGAAAGGCAGGTTCTTCACTGAGGTACCGAGAGTAAGCTAGAAACCTCATCTGTGAACATGGATCCTCATTGCTGAGGGCAACTGCACCACTTCACTTGCAGTCCTTAGAGTTTCGCTAGTGAAGGATTGTCTTCCAAATACATATATATACTAACAAGTGATAGGATGAGTGGACATAGCCTCAAATTGTGCCAGGGGAGGTTTCTTTTGGATATTAGAAAAACGTCTCCACTGAAAGGGTTATCAAACTCTGGAACAGGTTTCCCAGGGTGTTGGTTGAATCACCATAGATGGAGGTATTTAAAAGACCTGTAGATGTGATGTCTAGGGATATGCTTTAGTGGTGGTCTTGGCAGTGCTAGGTTAATGGTTGGACTTGATATTCTTGAAGGTCTTTTCCAACCTAAACCATTCTATGATTATATATATGCACTTGCTTTGTATGAGGGTACATCCAGTACTGTCCAATTGGTGTAATGTTATTTGAAAATACAGTGTATATTCAGCATTGGAGCTGAAAGTGAATCATGGACTGTTTAAAATTAGATGTTGTTTAAAGATGATAAACACAGAATGTTCTGCAGGATCTATCTGATAACATTTGAAATTCATATTAATTTTTTTTTTTTTAATAAAGGATAGATCATTTGAATAATAGCAATTGTATTAGATTTTACTTCAGGAAAAGTAATTAAAATTATAACCTTTACCCTGCTTTCAGAGATAGACACTTCTCAAGCTCATTCAAAGTCAAAGTTGTTAGGAGTTTCAAATAGTGCTTGTTACTTTTCCAGAGTTCATAAAATCATTAGGATGCATATTCTTATTAAAAAGTGGTCTTGCTTTTCCAGCCTTCTGTGAGGTTGGTGTATTCCCAGCCCCAGTCTGGCACCAAGAGGTGCTGCCCCATGAAAACCCACGGTGTTTGCAAGCAGGGCAGGGTGGGCTTGGCCCCCACAGGGTGGTGGGCACCCCAGGGAGGGCACATGCCCACATGGAGGTTTCAGGGTTTTGGGAGGGATTTGACCCTCTCTCCCCAACACATGAAGGACCAAGGCAGTTTCCATCCTCTGTCCTCTTTTCCCACTCTGGTCAAGAGGGCCAGGGCAGCCCACCCTCCCACTCCCCATTCTTCAAGTGGTGCCCAGCCCAACTAGTGGATACAGAGCAAAATAGCTGAGCAGGAGTTAGAACTTCACAGGCACAACTGTTTTGGTATGGGTTGCCTGCTAGAGACAGAGGTAATTATAGCTTTCAAGGCTAATGTGTTTGGCAAGGTGGGGAGCTGGTACAGGAGGGAAGGGAACAAGTAGCAATCTTTAAAAATATAAATATCTGCCAGGATTCAAATTTCTGCCTTGAATTGATTCCATACACTGTGTTGGCTCTGCTCCTCACCCCTGGTACTTTAGTAGTTGTTAAATGAACTTGAACATGTTTGTATCAATAACCCTTTTTTACCAAAAGCTATGCGTTTCTAAAGCAATATGGATGCAGATATAATTGTGGTGGCATGTTGTCAGAAGCTATTTCAAATAGTTTTCAGAGACAAATGTAAAGTGGTAAGTATGCCATAACTAATGGTAGTATTAGTTTGATTTACTGTCAACCAGTCAGCTTTACAAAAAATCAGTCCCAAAGCTCATAAAGTATCTCCCTAAAATTAGTATTTTTTACACTATAATGAAAGAAAAAGTGAAGTTACAAGTTTATATTTTCTTTTTCTGTGTGTTTCTGTTTGAAAGGTATCTTACAGCTTGCTTTGATACATAAGAGTGTGTGTATGAGAGAGAGGTTATAGAAGCCACGCATTATAAAAAAAAATTTAAAAGTATCTAAATGATCTTTAAGCAATTCAGATGACATGTCTAACAAAGACTGTCAGCAGAATAAATGTGGTTATGTTAATATATTGAACCATTAACACATGTACTTATCATAATGGAACTTACCCAATGGTAGTTCCTGTCAGATTCTGCTTGGTATGTACATCTTGTTTGTCTGATGCACTGAGAGACAACAATATCTATTTCATTTGAGGTGTGAATTGACACTTCAATTTTAAATCACCCACAGAACACCTTATCTTAAAGCTGAGCTTCTCCCTGATACTCTTTACTATTTGTCATGTTTCCATATGAGTATACTGAAAAGATGTTCCAGACAATCTGCTGCAGTGTGTGCGTATGGTGCGTTTGACCTCTGGACAAGAAAGGAGTTTCATCCTCCAGTGCTTTTAATTCTTATCCTTGCAGAGACTGAATTTGTTGCTTGCATTAAAATAGTATGTCTCGTTAATGCTAAGAAGCAGTGACCCACATAGCACAATGGATTTGTCAATCCCACATCTCCTTAGCTTTCTATTCATATATGTCATAGCAGCAAATCAACTCAGAAATCATTTAATCAGTCTATCAATGCATCCTTCTTGTCAGTTGTCTGAATCCTGAAAATTCCAGTATTTCGTTGGGCAACACCTGGCAAAATAGATTTGAACCTAATACTAGATATTCAAACTCTGAAAACGGCAGCTCCCAAATTCACAGCTCACACACACAAATCCTAAGAAGAGAAGTAGGATCTGGAAATTTTCTTGAATTTTGAAGCTATTCACATGCTGATCTGGTTCTGAACTTCATAGTGTAAACCTATCCCAGTATGTTAGCATTTCTGAAATACTCTACACACAGTTAAAGAAAGCAGTTCCCTTTTGTTTCCCCAATAAAGAAACAAGCTTTCATTGCTTTTTGTGGTTCCTGTGCGCTGAGGCTACAGCCTGAATAGTTTATAACAGTCAGTGTTATGCAAATGTCAATCATATCCTTACTCTGTTTATTGCCGTTATTTACATGTTTATTTAAGTGCTTGCTATTTCTTTTAAGCCTTCTATAGCCGATCAGGCCAACCAAGCTCTAAAGGAACAGAACACTTTATTAGTGATATGCTTAATACAGTTTTTTTCCTCTTGTAGATGCAAGATTTACGGAATACAGAAGGAGCCCAGTATAGTTCCCATCCTCAGATGGCAACCATGAGGCCAAGGGTTCAACCTGCAGACATTAGGCAGCCAGGAATGATGCAGCATGGGCAGCTGACTACTATTAACCAGTCCCAGCTCAGTGCACAGCTTGGTTTGAATATGGGTGGAAACAATGTTCCTCACAACTCGCCCTCTCCACCTGGAAGCAAATCTGCAACTCCTTCACCATCCAGTTCAGTCCATGAAGATGAAGGAGAAGATAGCTCTAAGGTAGGCTTAGATGCTAGGATTACTATGTCAATGGTGGATATTTTTAGGACCTGCTAAATGAATTGTATGGCCACCATGATTAAGGTGATACTTTATACATTTTTGGTGGTTGACTGAAGGGAATAAAGGGTTATGAATACTGAACTCACAGTTTCCAGTCAATTCTTCGGGCAACTTGAGTAAATGACTTCATTCCTCTTCATGAAAGCAAAGAGGAATCCTGTAAAACACTCAAAGGATAGCCATTCCTTTAGGACTTTAATATAAAGGTTGACTTTTCTCACTTGCATGGAAGAGATGTTTGTTCCCAGTTAAAGATCTAGGTACCGCTATAAAAATTATGAACAGTCTGTACAATATGCTGGTCTTTGCTCCTTGGCCACAGGATGAGTAAACAGAACGTCATAGCAGCCAGAACAGAACAATTCTCTACAAACTTTAAAAAACTTACCTTGAAAATCTTGAAGACCCATTGTGTATTGACACTTTGGGAGGTGCTGACACTTAAGCTTAATTTTAGTGTCAGTACAGGCATGAAATAACAACAGTCATTTGCATAATAATTTCTTTAAAGGATAAATGCTGATTTATGTAACAGGTTTTGCATGCAAAAATTTCCCAGACCTTCCAAAATACTCAAAGCCTCCCAAAAAATGCACAGGTGTATTATCTTAACTTTGCAAACAAAAAAGCTGAGACACAAAAAGGTTGGGACTTAGCACAAAGTCATCCCAGAAATCAGGAACAGAGCATTTTGGAATTGAGAACCTCTTTAGCTCTATTTTATGGTCACAACAAAATAAGAGTCCTGTCAGAGCAGCTCTGTATTGTAGTGTAATGTGTATCATGCAGTGTACCATGGCCATGTCTTCTGGAAAAAAGTTGCAGACTTGTGAGGAATGTGAAGAAAGCATAATATAAGTCACTGAGGAGGTATAATCCAGTTGAGAAATGTAAGTCTGATTTGTCTTCAAATTATATTGTTTTTCATGCCTCAAGCTATAAAATAATCATGTAATTGGAGACATATGTTTTAGTACATTTTTAATAAATTCTGATTCAGAAGTTTTATTTCAGTACTTTCCCGTGATTTCACAAACTTAAGGTTTAAAAAATTACTGAATAATTCATACATTTAAAATGAGCACTTCCTTACTGAGGGATACTTTAGAATACAGCTGTGTAAAAATAATTACAGGCAGCCTTTACTTAATCAGAATAATTTATGTGCTAGTCCTACTGCTTTGCTAATATTTTTGCATATATTGGGAGTGTGCAAGATGCTCTAAACTTCTGGAGAAAACATCCACTCGAATAATTAAGATATCCTTTCTGCTTCTATCAAGTATTTCAGTTACTTAACCCATATTTTTCATGAACTTCTTCACTGCAACACTTCATGCTAGCTAAAGTGTAGAGTTGTGGTTTCATGCAGACAGAACTCATCTGAAGCTACTGTTTTCAATAAAGAAATACTAAGCACTGTAGACCAAGTAAAACTTCATCCTTTCTTTGTGGAAGCTAATTTATAGTGTGTTCAATTTTTTACCACAGAATCACAAGATTTTTTGAGTTGGAAGGGACCTTAAAGATCATCGAGTTCTAACTGCCCTGCATGGGCAGGGGCACCTCCCACTAGAACAGGCTGCTCAGAGCCCCATCCAACCTGCCCTTGAACAGCTGCAGAAAAGGAGCCCCCACAACATCTCTGGGCAGCCTGTTCCAGTGTCTCACCACCCTTACACTGAAGAATTTATGCCTGATCTCCAACCTAAATCTCTCTTCTTTCAAATTAAAACCATTACCCTTTGTCCTCTCACTGCAAGCCCCTGTAAAAAGACCCTCCCAGCTTTCCTGTAGGCCCCTTTCAGGTACTGGAAGGCAATTTTGAGGTTCCCCCAGAGCCTTCTCTTTTTCAGACTGAACAACCCCAACTCCCTCAGCCTGTCCTCATAAGAGAGGTGCTCCAGCCCTCAGATCATTTTTGTGGCCCTTCTCTGGACATGTTCCAACAGGTCCACATCCTTCTTGTGCTGAGGGCACCAGAGCTGGATGCAGTGTTCTAGGTGAGGTCTCAGCAGGGCAGGGTAGAGGGGCAGAATCACCTCTCTCCATCTGCTGGCCACACTTCTTTTGATGCAGCCCAGGATGTGGTTGGCTTTCTGGGCTGCAACTGCACATTGGTGGCTCATGTCCAGCTTTTGGTCCACTAGTACCCCCAGGTCCTTTTCCACAGGACTGCTCTCAAGTGTGACCTCCCCCAGCCTGCATTCATATCTTGGGTTACCTCGGCCCAGGTGTGGGACCCTGCACTTGGCCTTGTTGAACCTCATGAGGGTCACCTGGGCCCACTTCTCCAGCTTGTCCAGATGGCATCCCATCCCTCTGGCATGTTGACTGCACCCCCCAGCTTGGTGTCATCAGCAAACTTGCTGAGGGTGCTCTCAATGCCACCATCAATATCATTAATGAAGATACGAAACAACACTGGGCCTAGGACTGACCCCTGAGGGACACCACTTGTCACTGTGTTCCATCTGGACTTACAGCCATTGACCACTAGCCTCTGAACTTGACTATCTATCCAGTTTCTTATCCACTGAACAGTCCACCCATCAAACCCATATCTCTCCAATTTAGTGAGAAGGCTGTTGTGGGGAACTGTGTCAAAGACGTTACAGAAGTCCAGATAGATGACATCCGCTTATTTTCCCTGGTTGACTGATGTGAGTCACTTCATTGTAGAAAGGCACTAGGTTGGCCAGGCAGGATTTGCCCCTAGTAAAGCTGTGCTACCTGTCCTGGATCACCTGCCTGTCCTCCACATGCCTTAGCATGTCTTCTAGGAGAATCTGTTCCATGATTTTCCCAGGCACAGACATGAGGCTGACAGGTCAGTAATTCCCAGGGTCCTCCTTTCTACTCTTTTTAAATATGGGTGTAACTTGTCCTTTCTTCCAGTCACCAGGGACTTCACCTGACTCTCATGACTTTTCAAATATCATGGACAGTGTTTTGACAACTACATCAGACAGTTTCTTCAGGACTCTGGGATGTATCTCATCAGGTCCCATGGACCTGTATATCTTCAGGTTCCTCAAATGGTCACAAACCTTATTTTCACTTACAGTGGGGGGGGACTTTGTCTCTCTGATCTGCATCTTGTGGGCCATCAACATGAGACTTGTGAGGAGATGGGTTCCAGTGAAGACTCTTGCCTTTTACTTTGACCAGCAAGTCTCATCTCAGCCATGCTAGTCTCTTACCTTTCTTGCCTGATTTCCTATACCACGGTATTGAGGCTTCTTGCACCCTATGGAAAGCAACTTTAAAGATCTGCCAGTCCTCTTCTGCTGCCTTGTCCTTCCCAGGCCATGTTACTTTGTAAAACTCTCTTTAAAATTCTTTCATGGTCAGTCTAAGGAGAAAAAAATAAGAAAAGGCACAATACACAGTGCAAAATTAAATTCAGTATGCTGAAGTAGATACGTTACCTTTAAAGTCAATTATTATATTTTTTCCACTAAGAGAAAAGCTTTAAAGGATATTAAATTTGGTTAATAATGTCAGAGGGCTTAAATTTATCTCCAGCTAGTAGGGTTTAAACTGCACACTTGATGGGGATCAGATAATGCCAGACCTGTCTTCTTTGAAACTCTTTGTGACAATGCCTTGAAGTTGGCCAGCACTGGAAACTGGCAGGGGCTGACATACCTGGTATGATGCAGTGATTCTGCTGTGGTTCCTTCCATAAAAGACAAGAGGGTTTGAATAATCAGCGTAAGGAGTTATTGTGTTGTAGTTCATTATTCAAACTGTTCCGCTGGATCTTTCTGTGATGTTGCTCTTCCTGGAGACTGCCAGTGAATCGATATGGATACCTAGAATAGACCAGCTTTCTGTGGACATCTTTCTTCCCAGTTGCAGCAGTATTACATTTTCTCAGAGCTGCTTTGGAGGGGCCTGTGAGGGTTCTTACTCCAGAAATCCTCCCTGTGAAAGAAGGCACTAGATGGGGACAGGAAGAGACAGAACAGTCATTCTCATGTTCATACCTTTTACCCGAATATAACTTGGCTAAATTTAGAGTTTTCTCTTTTATAAACTATCCTGTAGATATGTGGTATTACTTAACAGATCAGGGCTCATTACTCAGTCCTGCAGTAGAAGCGCATATGTTGCAGTCATGTAGTAGCTGCTGGAGCTTGTCACATTTAAGTGGCTTCATGGAGTCAGTAAGATGTTCCTGCCATGAGGACTGTGTAAAAACCCACTCCCTCTGAATTCACCATATTGTTAACAGCGACAGTGACATTCTCCCTATTTAACCAGCAGGAGATGATGTTTGCCTAGGTACCAACATTGATTCAAAAGCCAAGGTATATTTTAAAATGGAAAACAACCCCAGTGTCAGGTGACTACCCTTAGTTTATTCCTGCTGAATGCTCAGCCTTATGTGTGAAAGAGAAGCCCCTGGCCCTTTGATAACAGGTTTAGCAGAGGAATCCCTAATAATAATAGCTATTTCTATTTAGAGAAAAAAATACATAAATCTCAGTGTCCTGTTCATGTTTGCATGAATTTATAGAAAGAGGATGACAAGAGATATTAATAAATATGTGCATTGTACACATTTGGACTACAAATATAATTGTATCCTTAATGAACCACTGATTTCTGTTCATGGAGGAAATTACCAAGGCAAATTAAAAGATGTATTCCAAATGCCTGTAATATGGAAACTTTACAAACTGATTTAATTGTTTGAGTACTGAGCTTCCTGGGTGTTCATTCTATGGTAAATATTGAAATTGTTGTTCAACATACACAGAACTAGTCGCAGCAGTTGCTAAATAATTTTTGGCAGTATTCATCCTCATAAAGCCTATTTCATATAGGCCTTTCGGACTTTAAATGTCATATAATCCCTTGCACAAAAAAGGGAAAGGAACTGCATTGTAAAGGGCTCAGTTGCCCTATGCAGTGTTGCTCTAAAAGCAAGACAGCTGAGGTTGCTTGACCACAAGATCAGTGACAACAGTAGCATAATTATAAGGTTGTGTATTCACAGTCAGAAAGCTGCCAAGTCCATGGAAATACGGAAAGTAGTCTCAGACCAAGGATATTGTTTCTGGGACTGGTGTGCATCCCTAAATCAAATATGGGGAGCTATGGTTAAAAGAAGAAAAAAGAGAAAACTTGAAAATTAATAGTTGTAAGTAAGTATAAAAACATTCTAAGCAAAGTGGCCATTTACCACATGCTTTTTTCTGCTCCCCTCAACATTAGAATATTACATTTATGTAATTCTTGCCATAATTCATACTACTGGATCATTAAACATGTATTTGGTTATTGCCAAGAATAATTTTGAGCTGTTTCTGGAAGTATTATTGGTTTGCAAATATGTATTTCTTCATAGATGGATAACAGAGTTTTATTCCATGCTCCTTTGAATGTCACTGGTGAAAGAATTTCAAATAATGTCTTTTAGAGGGCAGATAGTGAGAGAACTGCAAGTAGTAAGAATTAACTAACAGAAACACAATTATTAAAGAACTGCTGCAGTATATTCTTTTTATGTGGTAGAGTTTTTACAATATTTACTTTATATGATAAGAGATATAAGTGGAATTCTATGTTGTCTGTTCAGCCTATTATGCAGATGGTGCTTGATTAAAATCTATTTTAAACTACAGCGATTACTGCAATATAGTGTGCATAAAACAGCTCTCCTAGATCCATTAAAGGCTTTGGTACTATTGCAGTTTATTTTAAATATGCTTATAGACATTTTCCAGCTTCTCAAGGGACATTTGGATATCAACGATGTGCCTTACTTGATAGTTTTAAATCCTACACTAGATATTCTTGTGATCTATTATGTGTGCAACGTGGTTAATGTACACTTTCTTAAAGTGAAAGATTATTGCTTTCTGGTGATAAATAAGTTAAATACATCACCATAATTAAGCAATAAGCCATGACAGGAGGTGGATTACCATGAGCTAACTACACCTCCAGGGATTTTGAGGCACAAGTCTATGCCCAGCAGAATATAGATGGTTTTTATTTTATTTCCCATCTGTCTCTGCTTTGGTGGTTAGAAGTGGAGTCTATGAAGCTGATAGACTGATGGCAGCATAAGGTAGGCCATCATCTCAGCCATTTGCAAGTCCTGAAATTCTGGGATTCTTTTTATTTTCATATAAGACAAACAGAATTTCCCCAGTGAGTGCTCTCTTTTTAACAGTGGGTTTTTTAAGTCTCTTGATCATTCAGGTTGGAGAGTAAGATTCTAGAGCTGTTCTCAGAAGAACTTACCAGAAGACTTCTTACACAAGTTTCTGCAGTGTATCAACTATTTTAAGGGTAATTTAAGTATATAGTATCTTAATATACAGAGAACTCTGAAATCTCACTGGTCCAAAAATACTCTGAAAAGAGGAAATATTTTGCAGATCATAGAGGCAACATTTTAACTATAGCCCAAATTCTTTTCAAGCCTCCTTGCTTACAGAGTTGGTGCAGACTCAGGTTAGACTGGTATTGTTGAATTAACTAGGGAGCCCTAGTAAATTACCATTTAGCTGGTAGCTTTGTGTACGCTGTAGAATGAAACAATAGCAAGAAACTAAAAGTCAGACAACTTAATAATGGATAGCACAGTGCTTTTGTTTTTCCATATTTTTCAAGTGCTGCCAATAGGTTCCATGTCCATTAACCTTCTTTTGAAGATTCCTCTATTGTAACATAATACTCAGGAAAAAAGCAATTTCATGTTAAAATTGCTGTTATCACTTTGTTGCTGTGCTTAGTAAGCCACAGAAATCCAGTTTGTTCACTGTAATCACCTGGGCCCTGCTGGACACCAAATTATGTATATAGAAAAAAAAAAAATTCAAAATTGCTCAAAATAAGAATTTCCAACCATTTTCCTCTGAATTTCTCTGTTTTCATGTGTTTGCTTGATATGCATCACTAAAAATCCAAGGATGTGGTTAAAGTCATGCCTAGTAAATCCTTAGCCTAGAGTATACCTTTGAAGCTCGTGACCTTTCTCGTACTTCAAAATGCTTGTGATGTGCAGTCCTCTGTCCATGCCAACAAGAGAAAAAAACCTTTGAACCCTCTGGTAAGGTCCCAGATCTTTGCTACAGGTATAGTGAATTAAGTGATCATATCAAGAGAACCTGCTTTGCTATGGGGATCTGTTGAGGAATCAGGACGATATCCCTTTATACTCTTGTAAATCACCTAGAGAAATAGGGTGCTTCAGTGATCAGGGTCTCAGAGCTATCCAGTGACAAAGTGTAGTTGCATTTAACAAATTTGCACAAATGTGTAATTTTTTTGAGGTGGTAAACAAATAATGTACACGCACTTTTCTTCATACACCATTCTCTTTCACTCCTTTACTCAAACTGGGTTTTTTTCATAAGCAGAAGAAAATAGCTTTGTAGCTAACTCAAGATGGATCAGAACTGATCCTCCAAAGGGGTCTAAACAGTCTGTACTTGTAAAGCTTTATTTCTTCATATTTTAATTAGGCATGTAGGGGGATGTCTATAACTGATGTTATATTCAAAATCTCTGGAAAGTGGACCTGCAGTTGCAGTAGAAACTGATTTGAACAGTAGTCTGGGGTGGTTCTGGGAAACAGAGAGGATAAAGAAAAGGTAGAAATGACAGTGTTCCTGCTATTTGTAGGTAGTTCATGGAGTTAAACAGGTGGTCAGGCTATAATGAAACTAATTTCATTTGAATTTACTTGTTATATGCACTTATAGACATTAGCAATAAAACTTAGAAAAGGTGAAAAGATGACCAGGTGAACTATAAGTGACATTATGGCAACTACATGAAAGCAAAATATAAAGCAGTATGAGGGGAAAAAAAATTACATAATCTGAAAGATTTATAGCAAATTTTATAGATGTGATGATGTGATTGTGTCAACATTTGGATTGTCAAAGATGATAACTAAAATTCACTTTTTCCATGCAAAATACAAAATCTTAGTATCACAGAATGCTAATATAATGATGGATTTTCTGAATTAAATTGGCTTTTTTAATAGTACTTTTCTAACTTTATGTTACAGGTCAATGGTGGAGAGAAGAGACCTGCATCAGATATGGGAAAGAAACCAAAAACTCCCAAAAAGAAGAAGAAGAAGGACCCAAATGAGCCACAGAAGCCTGTGTCTGCCTATGCATTATTCTTTCGAGACACTCAAGCAGCCATCAAGGGCCAAAATCCCAATGCTACTTTTGGTGAAGTCTCTAAAATTGTAGCTTCAATGTGGGACGGCTTAGGAGAAGAACAAAAACAGGTACAAAATGTGCTGTAGCTCAAAGGCTCTGCTTCAGGAAAGTGTTCTCAAGGTCATCTAAGCACTATAGGCAGCTTTTGTTTGCCAGGTTGAAACTTGAATATGTGCCATCTCAGGAATATAATTTAAAGAGACTAAAATGATAATATAGTTTTTCTTCTGTATCAAACCACTAGAAGAGTTTTTTTAGTTTTGGGGTGTGATACAGGCTTTAAGATTCTATTTAGAATTGTTTTATGCTGAAATTGGTGGGCTTAAGATTTTATTATGTCATTGCCCTTTCTATGACAGTGTGGTGTAAGAGGACCTTGCTGCCAAAAATTGTATCTGTGCAATGGGATCTGACATATGTAACCTCCCAATTGCAGATGTTTCCCTGCCCCATAATGCCAGAAGGGGAACTGGGCTCACATCTTCTCCTGACCCAAGCGGCCTTTTATTTATGAAAAGCTCTTAAGATGTATTGACCCAAAGAGACCCAGGATGGATGTGGCAAATCAGCAGTGTTCTGGGGTATCCTCAAGCGTACATATAGGTTGTGGAAATCACATCCCATAGTTACTTCCATCTTCTATGGAAGGGCCTTGGTTCTGCAACGAGGTCAGCAAAGCTGAATCTGAACCTTCTCAGAAATCCTTCCAAGTCAGCTGGATGCTTTGTTAAAGTAGCAACTCTGGAAGCTCATCATGTTCACGTGGCACAGTTTGACAAATGCCAGTCACCCTCGCTGCAGCATACCATGGCTTTTCTGTTGTTATTGGTTGTATTTTTACTAACTGCCAAGAGAATGGATTGGGTAGATAAAGAAATGGCAATTTTAAGAAAGAAACAGGAAGGGAAAAGATGTTTTGAGTAAGGGTTATATTGGCTGCAGGAGTCCTGAGCAGGGGATTGATGCCAACACAGAGAGAGGAAAAGTACTGGGACAAAACTGCATCTCATTCATTCACACTGAACATATTATTGCTACAAAATTATAGTTAATAGGACTAGGAATTCAAAGGAAAATTTAGTTATGATTTTTGGGGTAGCTTAAATCATTTGGGCTTGAAAACAAAAAGTTTTACTTTGCTAATAACTGGATGGTGTAGATACTTCTAGATCCCTGATAAAGATAACAGTGTAATAAGAATTAAGGTTTGGCACTCACTGACTAAAAAAAAAAAGTTCATTCTATCTGGTATATCTAGTATTCACCGTTGAACAAGGTCAGCATTTGGAAGATTTAGCTTGAGGAAAGGTAACTTTCTGCATGCAATGATCAAGGAAGTCACTTTGCTTGACACATTAGAGTTACTTTATTGTGTTGGCTTTTTCTTTTCCCTCTTTTAACATGTCCAGCAAAGGCTAAGGTAATGCCCTAGATCTGACAGGCTGTTTAGACCTTCCTAGTACAGCAGTTACGTCATAGTCAAACATTATTTTTTTGGGACCATGATGATGGGTGTTCACTTCTGACTCAGAAAAAATATGGTCTATGCTTTTGGTTAAGTTCACAAACAGGAAATTTTTATGCTATTCAGTTTTCTTCCGTGTACCTGTCAGCCAGCAGGAAGGACAGTGCTGAGGCTCTCAGGGAGCAGCCACTGCTCAGCAGACTGCCCAAACATGCAAGAAGCAGGCTGCTGTCCATGCTGTGCTTTGTCGCAAAACTCTGGCCAAAGTTGATAAACTATAGACTGAGGTATCTGGTTTAAATTGGTTCCTACTCCAAAGAAAGATCCATGCCCAGAATCACTACCCATGGCGAAATCTGGACATCCAAACACATACCTTAGGAGTGCTCCAAGTAGTAAGATCTGTGTCTTGGACCCATCTTGCTTGCCTGTGGGATTATGAATCCAAATTTTCCTGAAATGGTGAAAAGCAGACACCTGGACTTCTCAAGAACCTGTCTCTCTGATTTATCTTACATCTCTCTAGTGACAACACCAAGCAAAAATTATTTACTTAGCCAGATCTTCTGCTTTGTTTTCTCCACCATTTTTCATAATGACTCTTAACTGGTCTCTGCTGCAGTGGTGCTGTTTTTCCTTCCATAATATTTGCTCCGCTTACAACACAGAACACTTAACTTCGTGAATGGTCCAAGTATGCTGCAGTGGTGCTGTTTTTCCTTCCATAATACTTGCTCCGCTTACAACACAGAACATTTAACTTCGTGAATGGTCCAAGACCATATACTGGACCTATGCTTAAAAGACTATAAAATGCATGTTTCCTTAGAGCATGTCATTTCTGTAGTACCAGCAGAAAATCGAAGTCTTTCCACAGAATTCTGTTTAAGAAAAGCACATAGAATCCTAAATTTCCTGCTTTAATTTATATTTCCCATTCGTGGATGAAAGCAAATATTGAATAAGTCCTACAATGAAACAGCAGAACAAAATTTATTTACTTTATCTCTGTTGTCTTTAATTTAAGTTGTAACATAGCAGGATGTTGTGTTATGGAATCCACATGACACATCCACAAAAAAATGGCTGCAACAAGATCTTTAAGACAATTATTCCAAGAGTTTGGGTTAGCATATCTTTGTTGCTCTTTGACTCATTTTGCCTATTCATTATAATCTATTAAGCACATTGTTAAAACTCCAGGCCCAGCCACTTTTTAATCTAGCACTGTACAAAAAGAATAAAAGATAGTCCCAATTAAGGGGGAGAAAGCAATTCTATTTTCTAGAATAAATTCAAACTCATTCTTTATTCCATTAGGGATCTGATAGTACAAAGTAATGACTGCACAACATCTTAACTGACTAGATAGTATTTTAAAGGCTTATTTTTTCAGATCCAGAACACTAGTAACTGTTATGAAACCTATGTTTCTGGTAGAAAAATTGGACTCTAAAAATACAAATGATTAATGTAGCGTTTGGAATTTGGCATTGAAGAAGCTTCAGAAATTCGAAAATAGTTAAATAAAGAAACAATAGCATCATTAGAGGAATATTTGTTGATGAATTATACTTGCTGAAAAGGATTCAATTATCATAAAGCTTCTGGCTTTTATGTTTTGGAAGCTAATGCTTTTTCTGGAATTTAAATAGAGTTATATTTCCAAATTATGTTTCCTGAATTGGAACTCCTTTTACAATTTAAATAGTAAATATAAATGAATCGGAAAGTAGAACATAATGCAACTATTGAGAAAGAAGAATAACCTCATGTTTTCATGCCAAAATGAAATCTTCTTTTTTCCTATGACCTGAGCCAGCTTTTTTCTGAAATGCATAGAATTCTTCTTGTGTATTCATGAAGACTGACCACAGAATAAAGGTATTGAAACTCAGTACAGTAACTACCTAAGGGCAGTATATATATATCTCTAAGCTTTTTGCAACAAAATTTTGATAACCTGACATAACACACTGTAGCTTGAAAGGGTTTCTTCAAGAACCACATATGGTTTTCAAACTGTGAAGAAACTAGTAAAATGTTGTTTGAGAAAATAGCATTTGAATGACAAAAAATGAAGTGTTATTATGAACTAGATGATGGTGGGTACCTCGCTGAAGTAAGGGGGCAGTTACACTTAAAATGGATCGTGCTCTGATGGTCTTACTATGAGAATATTGTAATTTATGAGATTAAATCAGATGCCAGTGTACTTCCACTCTCTTTTTACCATATAAAGACATTTGCATTTTTGGGTCATGTGTTATAACTTCCAATTAAGTTCTGAGTGTACAAGGGTCATTTGCAAAGCTTGCTGGTGTGGGTCTGGGTTTTGTTTGTCTTACCCTATCTACACAGAGAAGTCTAGAAAGTAAAAGGACATTACTGGTCATGGTGGGTTTTGTCACAGTTTCTTCTCAAATTTGGTACAAGAATTACACAGGATCAGAAGCAGGAACTGTGCATATTCCTCCATTTTTCACTGTGAATGTTTTCTAAAACTGTTTAGATTAATAAACCTGTGAATGAAAAGCAGCTGTAGCAGTAGTGTGTGGAAGTTTGTTCTCGATGCTGTAACCATAGCACAGGGATATTTTCAGTGTTTTTTCTATTTCCTCTATTACAATCACACTTTCTTCTCCTTAGTCAGTTCTACACTTCTGTGCAACCCAGTTTTATAGCTTATTTTATGTACATCTTTGCCCTTTGCACATATTTTTGACTGCAAAGGGGAGGAAAACAGGCCCCAGGAAAGAGGGTTCAGCATGCTAAATGGTTGAGTCTCTGGCTTTCAGACAGAACTCTGGTTCAAACTGGGTGAAAAGGCTACTTGGGTCATTTTCTGTCCTTAGGTGAAAAAGGAAAGTAATTTTAAATCAGTACCAGATGTGTGTGTACTAAATGAACCTTAAGTTTCTAATTGGAATTCTAGTAAAGCTGTAATAGATGTGGCAAATTACAAACAAAATGTTCTTGTTTACATTAGTGTAACTTTAAAACTTCAGCCAAAGACCTTAATAAATGTGCTGTTATTCTAAAAATGGAAATGAAGGACTATTCAACATTCAACAAAATTAATCTCTGGTGTAACTTCAGTGACTTAACTGGAATTCTAGCAGGAATTAATTTGGCCTCCTATGAACAGCTTAGTGTGTGTATGTACGTGTGTGTATGTGTCTGTCTTATGTGTGTTTACTTAAGTGTTGCGCTGGCCTTGCAGCAGGGAGAAAGATGAGTTCAGCTAGGGGACCCAAACCGAAACAATCAGAAGAAGCAGGCGAAGCGGCTGTTTGAGTGCTGCAACATATGCCTTCTTTCAGGCTGCATAATTCATACACAGGAATATTAGCTGCAACAGTTCAGCTCAATAGCAACACCTCATTATTTTATCCCTCAGTATTTATTCCTATGTTTGACGCCTCATGAAATTACTGTTAATGTGTTTATATAAGGGCAGATCTGACACAAGTGGGAAGAATTTAATTTCCCACTCATTCTTTCCT